CGCCCGAACGTAAACAGGGTTCACTTCGAACCTTCCCATGAACGTGGATCCGTACCTACCATGCATTTCGTCGCAAAACCACTTCCGGTCCCGCCCACTGGTCCATGGTCCGTGGAAGATTCCTTTAAGAAGAACTGTCATGGAACACGAAAAATACCTCGGCGTCTTGGATAATTTCCCGTCGAGGGCTTATTTTGCAAATTTCTGTGATTAGTAACTTGGCAAGCGCTAAAAAGAACGGCTTTCCTTCTTTGCAGCACTCCTTTCCCTCAGCGCGAGGTTGTTTTCGAAGAGATGTTGCTATTCAAAATGTGTAAAAACTAGCATATTCGGAAAATTTCTGCGTTGTTTCTCGTGGAATCAAATCTCGTTATGCAACAAAAGTTTAATACTCCTTTGGAAGTACAAGTGCGAAGAAATCTTCTTTATTTATTGTAGATTGTCTTCAAACCAGTTCATTAAAACCACCATGTTTAACACGATGGCGACCGCCGTTGTGGGCGTACTGCCTCATTTTTCGTATTCTCTCATCAACAGGCATTATCCTTTAGCGTTTATTATCAGTAATGAAGAAACAGTTTTCGAATCCATAATGTACATGGACCGTTGTGGAACAGGAGAAAACACCAAATAAATTAATTAAAACTAGTCTGCCTTATAGGAAGGAGACCACGAGAGAAATTTTGGGCACGCACCTTCATAGATCATGCCAGCTTCGTTGCCCAATTTACCTAATCCATCACGAACCTGCAACCATCGACCCCGTTGCAACGCTTCCCACCCACCGCTATTGATATAGAGATCAGCGTGCTCTCTCGAACGGACGTGCTCTCTCGCGTGTTTTGTCTTCTTTGATCGCCCTGTCTCGCCATCGTACCACATCCGACTTACTGTAGGTTAAGGCCTTAATTTTAGCGTTTTCAATGATTTCTCTTGTTCTCTTTCCACTTTCAGTTCATTCCGCAGCTCACAATCAGTCATCACTACGAAGCGCCCTTACACACCAGTTTTATCCTGAGGCTTGTGCCTTAACCCTGCTTGTTTGAGGCATCTAGCGCCGGAAAAATTCATGATTCTATTTCAGCCATAAATCACTGGCTTGAGACTCATTATCCACGATAATAGTGAAAAGAACTGAAGTATTGCTTTCGTTTTGATATAGAATTCGAAAACTCGAAAAGGCTGCTACGCGTTCGAATTGCCCACGGACGTCTTTCACGACGAATGCTGGCGATGGGGATGCTCAAACCTTGGTTCTTGGAGTGCATTCACTAGAAGCTCTTTCTGGCCTTCTGCTTCGTTGCATTCACATCTTACACTTCTATTCTGACAATAAACAGTCCTATTCCATCGATCGATTTGTCTCCACTCTCCGAAATCGCGCGCTTCAACCCGATTCTCTCATTGCGTCGCCTGGTACGTAGCCGGCCAAACGCCGTCTTCTTTCCATGCCTCGCCTGGCTCTGCCTCCTGGTCCTTCGATGGTCCATAACGTGTAGTTTTTGTACGTTTGTTTCTCTTCAGAAACCGAATAAACTTTCTATGCGTCTGTGAAAACTTTGTTGGTGCTATTTCTTAGTATATACAAAACTGACTATGGTGCATGTTTAGGAAAAGAGTGCTCAAGCATTTTCCGCGCAAGATCCTTCTAAGGCATCCTTGGGACCAGTCAGAACTTTATTTTTTTTCCACTTTTCTCCGCCAAAACAGATTACGATTTCTTGTGCTGCACTTAGAGCGTCTGTACACTTATTTGCATAACAGTTTATATTCTCGATATTTTGCTATCAAGGTCCATAACCTTCAATTTCGCTTCCTACTATAGCATTTGTGCTCATCGGCGTTATTCTTCTATACACTTAAACTCACTCTTCTCTTTAGGCTTATATCCCTCAAATATCTAAACTATAAGCAGTATAGGATGTGTCTCTGTCGGTATATGTCTGTCTGTCATGTCTGTCTGTCTGTCTGTCTGTTTGGTGTTGTTTGTTTAGTTTGTTTTTTGTTTGTTCCTGTAACACCACAGGCCTCACCGCGTGACGTAAGACCCTATTGAAATTACTTGGGAAGACATGGGCCCGGATGGGTGGGAGGTTGTCCTTAGGTCGTGTACGGTTGCCTAAAAGGATACGGTAGTGGGCGGGGCCGACCCGATGGGCGGGGCTTGCGCCAAAATTTCTGTTGGAAATATCGATTTTCGCGTAAAGGGCTCGAATGGTGATAATATATCGACCACAATAGTTTAGTAGTAGAAATACGTTATTGCCGCTTATGCTGCATTTGCAGGCCTTCCGAGTGTTAGCTGGCTAACTGCCATCTCCGAAGGGCGATAACAGAAATGCACTTAGAATGAGATCATAACAGTTGTCGCTCGATTTTTCCTTCTTGATGCCTATCGATGTTTTCAAGATTCCATTGCACAACTTCCCCCAACGACCTCCATGTTAGCTCGAAACTCGTCTACTGCAAAAAGTAAAAGGCAAAAAAGAGGTCTCCGCTTTTCGTGTTTTTGACTATTCCTCTGCTTCTCTCACACGCACCATTTGGCACGTCTTGTACATTTCACATTTGAAACGATATCAGCCATTCGCGAAGGGAGCTGCTTTTGAAGTCTTGTGTCCGTCTTTTGCATTGCAATAAAGCGACTAGCTGATCATGGGCTGGCTACGAGGGGAGTGCGTCCTTACTACGTATTATCAGTATCTCATCATAACAACGTTTCAGTCGGTAGATAATGGTGGGGATGTATGAGCGTACGGCCTAACGGACCCGTTACAATACGAATTAAAGCCCAAGAACATAGGCTGCTTCGGTAAGAGGCGCAGTCCGGGAATTGAAACTGGGCAGCGTCACAAAAACGCTCGGATAAGGTGCTCGTGCTCCTGAAACCTCAACTGTCGGCTCACTGGGTTGGACACCCACCAATCAACTATGTAAAGCTGGTGTCAGAGTCCGCGATCCGTCGCAGGTTTCGCTGGTTTTCGCGATTACCGCGAATTGCGCGAAACCTGCGACGGTTCACAAACACTGGGCCGTATGCTATCCTCCCCAAAGGGGTTGGGGAAATCCCTTTAAATTTTCTCTGTCTTCCCAACTGGGATTGCCCTGATAAAGGGCCTACATTTAATGTATGTATGTAGGTAAAGTAAACATGCACTGAAAATGAAGAAACTACATCGTTCAAAACAAATAAATTTAAAGGAAACTTTGGATCACCTAGCTTCGGGGAAGGATAGCATACGGCCCATTGCAAGTGCCCCATTTGAACATTTGAAACACTGAATATGAAACAAGTGGAATCATGAGCAGTCGTCATTCAGCCATCACTATCAAGCAGAAGTGGCGGCGAGAACACCTTGCAGTATTGATCGGGCACTTGTGATTTCCGTGACCCGTCGCGTGAATCGCGTGAATCGCGAAAATCGCGCAAATCGCAAATCGCGAAAATCAGCGAAACCTGCGACGGATCGCGGACTCTGACACCAGCCTAAGTTTCCGTTCGTCCCGCCACTGAGATTTATTGTGATCAATTCCTTTAATGCGTTTGCGGTTCGCTGCAGAGTGGCCAGTACACACACACTGCTTTTCGTAATCAAATTGTCTTGAAAAAACCTCATCATGTGCATCGATAAGAACAGTGAAATATACCAGACCATGCGCTTTTCGAGTTCTCTGTTACTATTCTAAGAGATACGCACCTTCGGCCTGTAGCCATCACCAATAACGTTAACAACGAATTCGGATGGCATGTTGATCTTCGGAAACTGATCCAAACCTTCCAAAAATCCAGACGCAATAGGTTCAGCCGGAGGCTCTGGCTTTCTGGCAACTTGATCAAGCCTGAAAAATTAGAGGCAAAAATTCTGTAGTATTGAGTTGTCGGAAATCAATGGAGTTTTTCGCATGTTCTCTTGAAACAACATATTTCACCACCAGATGATTAATCAAAATAAAGACTAGTGAAGTTTGCTCATAATTTCTCTATAATTGACGAATGAATTGACGTACTTACTCAGTACGATCTGTGAAAATGTATTCAATTATTGCAAGGTCGCTATGCGAAAGGCGGCCGCACCTTATTATAATCATCTTATCCTCTTACAGATTGTTCCCTCGTGAAGCATCTCGACGGTCCACTATGAAGCATATGCAGCAAGCAAGTGCAATAAGCTCCAGTTCAAAAAATGTGGTTAACCAAGATAAAAGGATAAGGATAAAGCATTTGCCGTTGATCAATCCCTTTTTGGGATGCGGCACGCATTCTACTTCCATTTGTACATTCGCAGTGGCTTTGAATGACTTGCGGGGGCCAGCCGATGTTCAAGTCAGTGTTTTTTATCCTCCCAGACAAGTCTGGTACCAATTAACCGACCCCGGAGGGATGGAAGGCTTGGTTGGCCCGGGCGACTCACGACCCAGGATTTGATCCCCGGACCGCTCGCGTGGTAAGCGCGCCACTTGTCACTACACCACTTCCGCCCGGTTAACCAAGATAACAAAATTATCTGTTCGATTTCCTTCTTGTTCCATTTCAGTTCTGCATGAAGTGGTGCTGCGATCCATTCACTTATTAACACGTTAACGACAGCGGCAGCGCACCCAAATAGTTTATTTTTTGGGCATGTGTTACTCTTTTCTATTTTTTTTTTGGCATTCTTCCATGCACTACACATGTGGCCATGAACGGCGTAGTTGACCGAATAGTTATGTATTCTTCACTTTAGCGGAGGCTCTCCAACTCTTACAGGTTCCTCACTTCTGCTCATTTTTCGTTCTCCTTATATTCTCTTGATCATGGATTTTGATCATTGGAGTAGTAGAGTAAGTACAGAACTTTCTGTAGCTCTTTTCGAAAAAAAAATGCGAACTTCTCGGACAACCCAATACATGGTCAAATTTTCTTAAGGCTTCAAAAAAGCAGCTTGAATGAAGTTTGTTGGTCACAACATGACAAAGACAGATTAGTACAAGACCTTCACAACCTGCATTAATTTCCAATCAACTTAGCATATTCTTAATACGCAGAAGAACTTGCCAAAACGTACTTCGCCACAGGAAACTGAGAAAGATAGGTCATCACAGACATCTCGTCAATTTCAGGATGAATCAGTTCGCCTGGTGTGATTAACTGAAAAAGTTGTGATAAAGTGCAGAAACATATAGGAAAAGGCTTTGAATCATGGATCGCACTCGGCTCTATGAAAGCCATCGCTAAAGCGTTGTATTATATTCTTTCTTTGGCATGAAAATTTATAGTTGCAACCTTTACTATGCGGCGCGACCCTTCGATTTTTCGTCTTCCTCAGAAGCCTGGAAATAACTCGAAGCCTTTGATTTTCCAGACTAGCCGCTCAAGAATCTCCTCTCTCTAGCGTTTCCGACGTGATAAAGGACTTTGGAATGACCAGAACGACAAAGCACTCGGCGGAAAAGTTGCAACCTCACGCAACCTCATGCCTAGTGTGGATGACGCCAATTAAAGGAATCTTCCACGAAAGAGTGATCATTTGTCTTGTGTGTAGGATTAGTATTATCGAAACTAACGCTTATGTTCCGTTCTTTTTGCTATGCTCATGAGGCTAGGGGCCTAAGGGGTATCGTTTTTCTGTGGTAATGGAGGCGGAGCTTTTTCCGCGGAAGATTCCTTTAACAACGGTGAGTGTACATTGTCCCAATGATGATTTTGTTCTCTACTCGCTACTTTCCAGCACCATTTGGCGCTATGTGTCAGTTTGATTTATAATATATTGAAAATTACGCATTATCTGTGTACTTTACATTACATATATAACATTACTTACTACATTCAGTTTGGAACGCTGTGATCTCTCAAGCAATCGCACTACACAGTCCAATCAACACAGTTGCGATACTTTTCGCGACAAAGCATTATCGAGCTGCTTTATACAAGCCCTTCAAACACATTTTTGAAACCATTCTCCAGTAAAAAATTGACGAGTATCATGTCCAGCAAAGCAGGAGACAGAACAGGTGCCTAGCAAAGTTACACTACTTAGTCAGGCTGCGCCAGATAAAATATATAATTTTTATTAATATACCAGTTTGGCTGCGCACGCATTCGCGTGCATCACACGGGGGTTCAAACAGGATGATCACTGTTCTTTTCTAGATTTTAGTTTTCTTTCGGTACATCCCATTTACACCGACTATTAGGTCAAACTATATTTTCTATTATAACTATAAGGCGGTTTCGGAGAGGGTCTTTCTTCCAAGACAGGTTTTTTTTCGGAAGGTGGTAAGGCTGAAAAATTATGTCTGTGACCAATGTTCTCTCTCTATTACTGCAGAGCTGCTGAGTGAGATTCCAAGGTACGGCTGCTTTGGAGACACTCCTCTTTCGAAATTCATGGGTAACCCCGCCCACTTTTGCGCATGTCCTGCCCACTGAGACTTCATTTCCTTCGCTGACCTCTATACTTTTTTCCTGGTGTCCAAGACTTCTTGGAACCGAGTAATAATGTTTCGTGCATAACTCCGCCCACTTTTGTGCAAGCTTAGCCCACCATTAGCATGTAACCCCTTTCCCTCCGGCAACCCTTATCCACATTTCTCCCGGTCGTCTAGCCGTTTTGGAACCGAGTTATGAGAGTGGTGGCAAACTCCGCCCACTTCGGGTGTGCCACGCCCAGCGTTCACATTCAACCTCTACTCCTACTCTCACCTCTACACATTTTTTCAGGTCTCTAAGTCATCTCGGAGCCGAATTATGAGGTCTTGTAGAAGACGTTATGAGTCATGAATTTCTGGGGCAAACCCCGCCCACTTTGGTGCACACTTAGCCCACCAATAGCATTTAACCCCTTTCCCTACGGCAACCCTTATCCACTTTTTTCCCGGGCGCTGGGGCTTCTAGGAACCGAGTTATGAGAGTGGTGGCAAACTCCGCCCACTTCGGGATGTGCCACGCCCAGCGTCCACATTCAAGCTCTACTCCTACTCTCACTACTATACACATTTTTTCAGGTCTCTAAGTCATCTCGGAGCCGAATTATGAGGTCTTGTAGGGGACGAAATCGAGCTACGTATCTTTGTGGCAAACCCCGCCCACTTTGGTGCATGGGTCGCCCACTGATATCAGTTGACTATCATCTCTTCCCCAACCTTTTTCTACTTTTTTCCCATCTCCGGAACTTATTGGAACCGAGTTATGAAGTACCGTGGCAAACCCCGCCCACTTTGGTGCATGCTCCGCCCGCCAACAGCGGTTGACCCCTTTCCCTCTGCCAACCCTTATACGCTTTTTTCCCGGACTCCGGGACTCCTAGGAACCGAGTTATAAGCCTAATTGCAAACTCCGCCCACTTTGATGTAAGCCACGCCCATTCCCTGACATTTAGCTTCCCCTCCCCTCCTGACCTCTATCCGTTGTTTTCCGGTCTCTAAGTCATCTCGGAGCCGATTTATGAGCTCTTGTAGAAAACGCTGTCCGCTTCACGACACGCTCCGCCCATTGTGGGCGGGCCTCCGTTCACATCATGCGTGCTGGAAATACCTTAGGCATTGCTCCCCTGCACTAATTTCGTTTCTGGTCTGTAGGCTTCTTCTTAACCGAGTTATGAATATTTTCACTGAGCACCGCTTTTTTAGAGAACGCCCCGCCCACCGAGGGTGGGTCTCCTCAGTTCAATCTGGCTTACCAACGCACACCTATGCCCACTTTTGTCCCGGTCTCGAGGCTGTTTTGTGACTGAATTTGAAATCATGGTCCTCAGTACCACTCATTTCGACGCACGCCACGCCCACTGTGGGCGGGGCTCCGCTTAGGTAATGTATGTTTTTTACTTCTCGAGATATGGTACACCCATCCCAAACTTGACCTGGACCCAGTAGGTTGTTGTCCGCTTAATACGGAATTTCGTGACAGACAGACAGACAGACAGACTTAGCGCATTATATATAGTAGGGAGCAGGGTGAATATCGGTCGAGGAAATCCTCGACAGGGGGGTCGTACCTGTTGGGCTGGTCCATGGGGGGTCGTACTCTTGGGGGTCAGTAACAGAAGTGGTATCATGGTGCAGATAGGTAATAGGGTATAGCGCAGCAGAAAATGAAAACATCGAAAAAAAACATGATATTAAATTTTCTTTGCAGGTTCAGTCGCTCCATTCCTCCACCTTCATGAGAAGGGCGTATTTTGAAGGCAGTACAAAGAATGAAAGTGCATCCCCGCAAAGAAGACTGCCACATGTGCGCACGCGCTGCAAAGGCACCTCCTCTGCCTATCGCTCGCTCCTTCTCCCTTAATACCTCGCTGAGAATGACGCTGTTGTTAGGGACCCTGTCGGAAAAACGACAACCGTGAAGAAAAAGCGCTGGGCAAATGAAGTTGTTTTTTAGGTTACAGGAATAGCACAACACACTATGTCTACTACATACAGTTTCGTTCGAAGGTCCCCATCATATAACACCTTTCAATCGATTCTGCAACTGTGAGTGGAGGAGGGATGCATGGCTTATACCAATACCAAATCGGATGATGACGATTGCTCCTATTCTTATTGTTTGCGTTCAAAGATATTGTTCTAGACACATTCCGAGTGTTGCCAACGAGTCACACTTGCAATGGTGAATGAGGGAGCGGATTTCCAGGTGGCCGGATCCGTCCTCGATAGATCCTCGACGCAAGATATCTCTTCAACTAAAAGCTGTAGAAGAAAGCTAAACAGACCATCAGGAAGCGCAAACCTTCCGCTTTCCAAAACTATCTTCCCTTTTTCAGGATCTTACAATATAAGAGATATATTGCTCTTGAAGTGGCAAAAACTCGCGTGAAAATTTGGGCCTCCTCGACATTTACTCGACGAAATTTGACAGACCCTATCTTTCTGCAAGGAAGGCTTCCAGAGCAATTTCGATGCTTGTTGGAAACGCGAAATCCAGCTCTATCTAACTCTACCTCAAGCTGCTTCAAAGGTTGTGAAATGGAGGAATGCAACCTTTTCATCGAGGGTGTAGATTCGGACGTTTTTTTTTGAAATTTCGGCAAATCTGACCCAGTGACAATCGCGCCGCAGCTGCCGTTGAATCGGCCTTTGATACACTCGGCTGTTTTGATATACTCAAGCAAGAATCAAGATTGAATCGCAACCCCGTGTCTTCAGGATTTCTGTGCGTTTCTGAACGAACCTCGCCTTGAGGTCACACAAAGTTAATGCCTCTTTCCTCGAGTCGATATTTCAGTATGTACACAAAAGTATGCAGCGATGAAAGACGTGCATAGATGACAAGATGAGGCGTCCTTAACATTATTTTGCAGAATTTTTTTGATTTGTTTTGCAGGATTTATTTTAATTGAATTAATTTGCTCTGTTAGAGGGGGTCGTGCCAGGATCTCGATTTCGGGGGGGGGGGGTCGTACCTCTGCGACCACGTACTCGACACGATTTTCACCCTGGTGGACAGCTTTTTGGTGAAGTAAAAATACATTAACACCCAAGTTTGTGTCACATTAATTCCATTACCAACTTACAGTAATAAATAAATTCAAGCTCAAGATCAATCAAACACTGGGAACTTGTTGGCAAACACGTTACAGCAGTGACAAAGGGCATCTCATTTCCAGCGATGGAAAGAATGAAAATGTACCAGAGGAGAAGATCCCATTAAAATCTAGTTTACCTGCGCTATAAGTACACGCTCACGTGAAAAAGCGTGACTCACGTTCAGCACTTTTTTCAAGACAACAAAGCTAGGAGACAAAAGATCAAAAAAAAATATGAGATGATATGTTGGCATGCGACCTCAACAGCAAACTGAAATCAACAAACAGCATTTCCAAAACCCACACTGATCATACCAATAAGCTCATCACATTTACACCCAATTCGAGATGCCTGGGCAAATAGGCTTGTGATTTGCAAGATAATTAATTCCTAACCGCTTTGTTTTAATGAAAACCGATCCGAGGAAAATGACCTGCCGACTATCTCGATTTTTTTTGGGCATGGTCACCGCGTCAGACTCAGTACTCCTCAATCACCCCTGCTCATATCTTCCTTGTTCACGCTGCTTCAAAAATTGTGAGGAGTAAATACAGTTTCGTGATACACGCGGTATCATAGATACACAAGCATAAACTAGCATTCGGACAATATTGTATGTACACTGAGATTCCGCACTTGTTTCAAAAGATAATAAAATTCGTTATCTACAACAAGTGAACCGAGTGCACCCATGTATAAAGTAGAGATATTGAAAAAAAAAGTATTTATGACTTACGGGAGCAACACCCAATCGGTCTTGAGCTATTTGCATTGCCCGTTGCGTATTTTCTAACGCATGTTCAGGTGTCCACTGATCCCAATCGGAAACTGCTCCTGGTACCATGGCGTTGACCTAAGAATAAAAACTTGATAATCTGTTGCTGGCGCTGGAAAAAGGCTAACAACGGAAGGATAAAAAATGCCGCAGCCACTCAAGTAAGATGTTTTAGCTTTATGTGTCATATAACACTTATCTCAAACCTTCCCATCAAATCTGCTAAACCATTCCTTGAGAAGAGTTCCTAAATGTTTTCCCCGCACTGTTTGCATGACTGCTCTTTGAGTATGCCTCCAACGAACTAGCAGAGCAGTACCCGGCCGCTCGCGCTGCTGCACGCCCGCCAATAGGTAATCCCTTAGGCTGGTGTCAGAGTCCCATCGTCGCAGGTTTCGCTGATTTTCGCGATTTGCGCGATTCACGCGACGGGTCACGGAAATCACAAGTGCCCGATCAATACTGCAAGGTGTTCTCCAATCCTGCCGCCACTTCTGCTTGATAGTGATGGCTGAATGACGACTGCTCATGATTCCACTTGTTTCATATTCAGTGTTTCAAATGTTCACACACTTGCAATTTTTGCGATCCGTCGCGGTTTCGCGCAAATCGCGAAAATCGCGTGAATCGCGCAAATCGCGCAAATCGCGCAAATCGCGTGAATCGCGCAAATCGGCGAAAATCAGCGAAACCTGCGACGGATCGCGGACTCAGACATCAGCCTTACCGTAAGACGCCAGCCGTTTAGCGGAGAGGGCGTTGAAAAAGGCGGAAACGATGAGAGTCGCAAATCAAACGGCCAAAGTGGCGTTCTCATTTCTCGGAGTCGTGGGGCTAAATCTTCAAGATTTTTCCTGCCGATGATTTCTGACTCATTTATCTATGAATCTATATTTTCCCCAATATATATATTCGGAAGTGCAAAAATGCACGTTTCCCATGCAACCCCTTGATCTTTACTTGATGCTAGTGCTCAAGATGGCCAAACAGAATGCTAAGTCAGGGAGTAAGACAGACACTCACGACGGTGCGCCCAGAGGGCTGCCAGCTAATAATCGCCTACCAACCATCTGCCGTAATTGCGGCATACTTTTGATGTCAGGATAACTAACGTGTGTAGATACTAATATTGCTTTGTGCTAATGTCTTGTTCACAAAATAAAATGCACGGATATGACGTGAGGTACAGCAAACTCGCGCCCGTCCAACCAAAAAGCGAAGAAGCCGCCGCTGTGAATGTGTTGAATCCTATTCGTATGCACTTTCAGAATGACCAACCAGAGCTCCAACTGCTATGCCGTCATTCCAGTCAGATGTGAAGTTGGTGAGGGGCATCCCAACAGGAAGTTTGCCACGGATCCAGTTTAGCAATTTCTGCTTTGGTGTTTCTTCCGGCTGGCCGTCGCTCTTTTCCTGAAACAACTAAAAAATAAGATGAGCTCACTGATCGCCTTGTAACCATATTTTTGAAGCGTTGCTATTACCATGATAATAACAAGCAGCTGGTTAAAAAAACGGTAAGGAGGAATGCGCCCGCATACTTTAAGTTTTCGCCCATTCTGCCTTCTCTTGACATTATACGCAGCGAGCGCCAAAACAAGTAAATCGCACATTTCGGCGCCAATTTTTGATTTTGCCATGTGCAGAAATTCTAACAATGAGAATTCTTGAAAGTGAACCAGTGCGTCAGAGTAATGCCTCCTCACACGTTGACGTGGTTGGCTTTAAGCGCTCTTAAAAATTTTGATTACTCTTTTATTATTGCTCGACCTATCAAAAAATCTTCCTTCACTTTCGAGTACCTATCGCAATAATTTCAGCCGGGGTCAATCGGCGCGCGCCTAACCGATTTCAGATTTTTAGGACCCCCCCCCCTCCTCCAAACGCTTTCTCGATTCCATCACCCGAGCCATGTACGATTCTGTGTAAATTTCAGATCTACGAGCTCAAAGGATTAGGTTGCCCAAGTACCGTTGATCTCACTCGAACAAAAAAAAATTCTGCTAAAATTCCACGTTTTCAAGTAGCGTCATATACCATTCGAAAGAAGTTTGTATACTCTAGAACGCTACGCCTCCCTTCCACATTCCCCGCTAACACATTGAGTTTTAGGGGCTGCAAAATGGGAGGTCTAGTACGTAAATTAACCAAACAAACAACCAATTCTAACTCAATACTCCCCGAGAAAAATCAATTAGAATTATCTACATATTCAAGACCTCTACTAAACGCTCCACTATAAAACTACACTGCGTCCCATAATTATAACTCCACCCAAGAATTTCCCAAAATCTCACAAATTTAGATGTTTTAGAAAAAGTCTCTAATGTGGCAGTGTGTCAAATACAAATACGAAATTCCTTATAAGCATCATCTTCCAACTTGAGATCCCAGGAATTTTTTCTAATAATTTTTGTTCAAAAGGCCACTTGGCCAACGTCCCAAAATTATAACTCCACCTCATGTTTTTCTATTATTTTTCACTTCCGTTTCGCCAAACTTTTTTAATGTGCTAACATCCTACTTCTCAAGGGGACAGTATGATAGAAAATGCTGTCTGACTTTTTAAAAGGTCAGGTCGTCGCAAAAACTACTAATTAGGCAATCGCACAAGATTTTGACCAAATTCACGAGGAGCTCGAGAATTTTTTTCAGGGATTTTACATGATATGGAGTTGAGAAGAGCTCCAAAGGATCTCCCCTTGCTTTTCGGTAGAAACAAAGGCCGTGTCACAGAAGAAACATCCTTTTTTATGAAGCCGTGCTCTGCCATCAAATCTTCTTCGGAACTTAATGGCTCAACGGAACAATGTTTTTTGCTTGCGAATAAGTCCCAAGTTGATTCTCGAGTGGAAAACGTGGAAGGCATCATCTGTGGTAAGAAACCATGGCGGAATTCTTGCTGAGTTTTCCGGAAAGGTGCATCCGAGCCGACTGGAGTAAGGTTCGCTTTTGCTCGATATGTTTTAGCATTTGTTTGTTTTTCTTTTCGTGCTTTTCTCATCCTTAGTAGCTTTTCTCTTCGCGAAGCACTACCAGGAGAAAGAAAATGCCGAAGAGAAAGACAGACAATCAGTAATGAATCGCAAGTAAGAGCGAACCTTACTACAGTCGGCTCGGATGCACCTTTCCGGAAAACTCAGCAAGAATTCCGCCATGGTTTCTTACCACAGATGATGCCTTCCACGTTTTCCACTCGAGAATCAACTTGGGACTTATTCGCAAGCAAAAAACATTGTTCCGTTGAGCCATTAAGTTCCGAAGAAGATTTGATGGCAGAGCACGGCTTCATAAAAAAGGATGTTTCTTCTGTGACACGGCCTTTGTTTCTACCGAAAAGCAAGGGGAGATCCTTTGGAGCTCTTCTCAACTCCATATCATGTAAAATCCCTGAAAAAATTCTCGAGCTCCTCGTGAATTTGGTCAAAATCTTGTGCGATTGCCTAATTAGTAGTTTTTGCGACGACCTGACCTTTTAAAAAGTCAGACAGCATTTTCTATCATACTGTCCCCTTGAGAAGTAGGATGTTAGCACATAAAAAAGTTTGGCGAAACGGAAGTGAAAAATAATAGAAAAACATGAGGTGGAGTTATAATTTTGGGACGTTGGCCAAGTGGCCTTTTGAACAAAAATTATTAGAAAAAATTCCTGGGATCTCAAGTTGGAAGATGATGCTTATAAGGGATTTCGTATTTGTATTTGACACACTGCCACATTAGAGACTTTTTCTAAAACATCTAAATTTGTGAGATTTTGGGAAATTCTTGGGTGGAGTTATAATTATGGGACGCAGTGTATAGCAGAAACCTGATTCGCAACTCCTTTCTGAATTTGATTTTGCTGGATGAGCGCTGAGCCATAGCGATTTTTGAGTTGAAATTCTTCCTCAGAAACACAATTTGTATTCGTGAGCTTCTACTCGGCCATATGTTTTGCTTTGATATTCGTTATGATAAGTCGAAATTATGTCCGCGTGATAAATTGTTCAGTCCACGAAAATGACCGTATTAGTTCAAGAAAAATTTGCCGG